TAGTTTTCATATGTTAATTGTGATGAATCCACAATGAAATAGCTATCGCCTTCTAAATCAAAGGAACTTTTTCATTCACATCAGGAATCTACTTCCGTGGTGATACTGCCTTGGAAACCCAAGGAGGGGTCGCTATGAGTTGGGTCCAACTCGAGGGCACATAACAAGAACAACAACACAGACTAACTCAGGGTCCTCTATGAGGAAGAAAAATGTGGCAGTCTGCTTCCATAAAGATTTACAAACTTGGAAACCCAATGTTTTTCACTAAAAGTCAGAATTAACTTGATGGCAGTGAGTTTGGTTTTTTGGTTTTAAGTCAGAGTAGGTTCTGAGGGTTTTTTTTAAAAAAATTATTTTAAATATAATACACTGTTGGGAAGGGAAGGAGAAAAGAAATTGAGTGGCTGATCATTTTGTATTTAATCAAAGGATTTTTACAGTGTAAGTAAGTAACTTTTACATAACACAATAAATTATTAAATGTCAGTTTCAGCGCCTACAGCAAGGTAACAAGAGCTCAGCAAGTATTTTCTGATTTGATCTAAGGACCATGCTGCAAATCAACGATGATTTTACAATGGAAAAATATATTTTGTGTTTATGTTTATATTTTATTAACATAATAACGTTAATAATGTTAATATTTTATAATGTTACAATATTTCTCATTTTAAATTCACATATTTTTCTGGGAAAATAAAATATTAAATACTAACCATCAGCATCATGATTACAGTTACTTGCCTGCTTTGATCACTGCCACAAATTAGACTCAGGGAAGAAAGGATTCAATCGCCCTCTAGAGGTAATTTTGCTGTATTTATTCTCCAGGAGTCCCATGTGAAGTTGATTTTTTTCTTTTCACTTGATAGGCAGAGTGATATTTTGACTGTAAGTTTCTGAACTTTCATAATTGTTACATATACTTTGTGCCTTCCCTTCAGCTTCTATTTGAGATATTTAATCTTCACCATGAAGAATTATTTTAAGAAACATTCTCCTGTTCCCTAATTATACTATCAATGAAATTTTTCTGAAATTCTGTATTTTAATGCTTATACAAAATAACTGCAGCAAATATCCAATGATCAAATATAGACTTTAAGTAAAAGGAAATAATTCAGAATGGATGAGGCTGAGTTTTGTCAGTATTTTTTTTTCAAGTGAGTAATAGGTCAATGGGAGCTTTGGTGGCATAGTGCCTAAGGCATTTGACTGCTAACCAGAAGGGTGGAGGTTCAAACCCACCAGCCCCTTCTCCGAAGGAAGATTGGGCAATCTATTTCCATAGAGATACCACCTTGGAAACCCAGGGAGGAGTCACTATGTGTCAAATTGACTTGACAGCAATCAGCTTTTCTTTTTTAAATAGGTCAATTAATAGTCTAGAAATTAGAAAGCCAAATGATATTTGTCTGAATATTTTGTGTTCAAAATTAATATCAATCTTTCCTTTAAAATACTCTAGCTCATGTGCAATGACCTATCCTCTTTCTCTCATAAAACAAATACTTTTAGCTTCTTTGCAAAATTGATAACATGTAAGTGGAATTCAAAACTATCCAAAATACACTATGAAACATACTGTAATAGTATAAATGATTTATTTCTAAAAGAGAATTTATTTAAACCAAATGAATTTATTTAGTACCTAAACCCTGTGGGAAATTAAAAAACCAAAACAAAGATGGATTCCTAATTTAATTATCTAAAAACTCAGTGGGACAATAAATACACTCTACAAAGGTCAAAAAATTTTTTAAAGAATAATAATTGATCAATTATTAAAGCTGTCACATTTTGAAAAGTAGCCCCTTATGCATTAAATACTCATCCCAGAACTGGTAAGGAATGACTAGAAATTAGATAGGGGAATCAGGTGCAGAAGTGTATTCCACGAAGACGGACCATAACTTTCAGGTGCATGGTAACATAGCATGTCTCAGTAACTGAAGACAGTTTAGTATGACCTTAACCCAGATTATAAATTGGGGAACAGCAGGAGATGAGGTTGAGAAGTTAGGAGGGACCAAAGGAAAAATGATCTCAAATGATATATCAAAGATAGAGATATTGTAAACTATTTTCAACAGGGAAATAATATGATCACATCAGAGTTTTGGAAAGATTGCTAGCTGCTTTATGATGGACAGACTGAAGAGGTAAAGAGGTAAAAAGAAGACAAAGGAATAAGTTAGAGGATGTCTGTAATGATAAGGGCTTGAACAAAGGTAATGGCTCTGATAACTGGGAGGAGAGTAGAAGAAATTAGGTATGTTAAGAAGTGAAGTCTCCAGGTGTTGTTTATTGATAGACTAAGTGTGTGTGTCTGAGAGAGAGAGAGAGAGAGAGAGAGAGACAGATAGACAGACATCCTAAAGTTTAAATTCTAGCTTTGGTAACTAGATTGTGGTACCCTTGAAAGAGAAAGGTAATGATATTCTGAGTTGTGCATCTCAGTGCCACCTGGAGACATCAAGCAGGTCAATAGGTTTGGAATACAGAGTTCAGTACACAGAGAGAGGCCTATTAATTATCAGTGGCTAGGTGGTAAAAGGAACTTGGATGACAGTTCATCCACAGAGAGTCTAAACAGTAAGAAAAGATGAAGGCTGAGTTTGGGAATTAGCAACAGTTAATTATTGTCCTATCTTCCTGTTGAGGGGCCTATCTTAGTTAATTAATTATAAGCTTGTTCATGTTCATTTTGTATCTCTTCAATATGCAGATCAGAAAAATGAGGGTCAAGGAAGTTAAGTAATTTCATTTAAAGATATTTATATGTAGAAGTCAATGAGAATACAGGTTTCCATATTGAGCCCAACTCTTTACCATACAAATACTCTCTTTAAAAAAAAAAGAAAACACTCCAGTAGAGTCTGACCCTACTCATAGCGACCTCTCCTTGGGTTTCCAAGGCAGTATCACTACCGAAGTAGATTGTTTGAATTGCTAGCCTTCTGGTAAGCCGTCAAATGCCTTAGGCACTACACCACCAGAGGTCCCAAATACTCTCTTACCAGTATTGCATTCTTCTTTCCTTAATGAAATCAAACCCAGTGCTGTTGAGCTGGACTCACGGTAACTTCAACTACTAACTGAAAAGCCAGCAGTTTGAACTTACTACAAAGGCACTGCAGAAGAAAGGCCAAGTGATATGCTTCCATAAAGTTTACAGCTAAGAAAACCTCATGGAGCAAGTCTACTCTGTATCACACGGGGTTACCATGAATCTATCCTTTTCTTACTGCCTCGTAAATCTTCAGAAAGCAAGAATTATAAGATCTTTCTTGTAGCTATTTGATGGCAATGGATGTTTTTGTTATTTTTGTACATAACATCAACACTAAAATAATAGCTTTTCAACAATATAGATCCTTAAGAAATAAGACCTCATATTTACTCTTCATACATACTTTCTAAAATGTGTGGGAAACAAAGAAATGCCCAATTCCATTATTAGGAATAACACATTATAATATGTTTCTGTTGTTGCTATTTTATACATATCACCAAAACTAAGATAATATATTTATACAGATAATATTCTATGATGATTAAAGTTATGTGTTAAATTGGCTAGGCTATGATTCTCAGTGATTTGGCTGATACTATATAATCACTTTCTATTTGAGATCTGATGTGAACAGCCAATCAGTTGGAAAGAGAGTTTCTTTGGGGGAATGGCCTATCTCTAGCACATCTACCTCTCTCTCTCTCTCTCTCTCTGTCTGTCTCTCTCTTCTCCCCCTGCATTCTTCTTGTTGCCTGACTTCTAGCTATTGGACCATAAGCCTGCAGAAGTTTTCAGCTTGCCACCTACAGAATTTGTATTTGCCAGTCCTTGTAACCATAAGCAAGCAGAGGGCTCTAACCTGTCACCTGACCTGAAAATTTGGGGTTTACCAGCCAGCGACCCAGCAGAGGTCTTCAGCCTGTCACCTGATCCACTGATTTGGACCTTGACAACCAGTTAATTGTGTGAGACATTTCTTTCTTATTTTAATTTTTTATTGTGATTTGGGTGAAAGTTTACAGAGCAAATTCACTTTCATACACTTTGTCTCATGACATTGACTATAATTTACCACAATGCAACAGCTTCCCTCCTACTTCCTCCGCATAGTTACTTCTTCCCTGTGTCCCTCCCTCCATGCACTCCTGCCCCTTGAGCTCTCTCCCTGTGCATACACAGCTCTTCTATTCACCCATGATTGTTTTCTTCAAGGACTGTATCTATCAAGTATAAATATTCAAGTCATATGCCTGTCTTTTGTTTGGCTGGAAGCCACAGGTGTGGGTTCAATTCCAGACCTGAAGGGCAGCTAGGGGCCATAGTCTCAGTAGTTCCATCAGGCTCTATCAGACCAGCAAACCTGGTCCCTTTTTTTTTTTCAAATGATTTTGAGTTTTGTTCCACATTGTTCTCCCACTCTATCCAAGATCTCCGACATAGATCCCCCTCAGAGTGGTTGATAGTGGTATGTGGGCACCATCTAGTTCTGGTCTCACACTCGTATAGGCTGAGGATCACATGGTGTACCAGTCACTTGGAAAACTGTTTCCATGAATCTTTGGCTTTCTTCATTCTTCTTTGTAATTGTGTAAGTCATTTGTTAAAGTAAATATTTCTATATTTATATATATATGCTTCACTGGTTTTGCTCCCCTATAGAATCCTGATCACAACACCTTCCAAGAATATTATAGTTCCTTAGAAAGAAGACCCCAAATTTACTATTCACACATGCTTTCTGAATAGTCTGGGAAACAAAGAAATGTCCAATTCTACAATTACAAATAGCACAGGGTATTGCTATCAAACAGACAGAATGTTTACCTAAGACAAAAATATCTACAGCTATTCTTTACAGTCCTTTCTATATCTTACATAGCTGAGAATGGATTTTACAAGTGAACTCTACCATACATCCCAGAACACATTTTCACAATTACATCTTAAGGAAAGCAAAAAATAAGAGATTTCGTTGGAATACCTGCTTGGTTTGATTGTTGCCAACTTGGTGACTTGACAACATCGGTGGAAGTCAGAGGCTTGAAGGCAGTAGCAGTTGTGAAGCTGGCCACCCCTGGTTTGGCAGAGGCTGGATTTTCTAGGTTCTCAGGCATGCTCCGTATTGAGGTTATAGAGGAAGTCAATTGCTGAGGAGGATCTTGAATGCTGCTGTAAAGGACATAAGGAAACATTTTTTGGTGACATAGAAGCGTTCTAAATTGGCAATGATCCTTTCTTCTCCACCTCAATTCATTACATTTTTAAGTTAAAACAAACAAAAAATTAATCCGTTTTTAAGTAAGAAAAGAGTCAGATTGCATTCCTTTTATACTTTGGAAATAAGGTCCCTCATGAGAAACTAGTTCACTGAATAGCTTATATAGTCAATCCTTCCACATAAGCTAATTTTATCCCCCTATCACTACTCTGTATTTCAACATGTCAGAACAGTCATCTAGTTAAAACAATTAGAGAATCCCTGGTAGCATAATGAAATGGCAGATGTTTCCGATTCTTATTCCTATTCTTACACTCTTCTAGTATTTTATGAACGAAGTATCCCTGACATCTCATCTGTTACTCTTTCTTATTCACATATGCATTCATTCATTCATTACATAAATATTTAAGTAATTATTCCATGTCACACACTGTGATACTATCTATACAGTAGCAAAACAAAAGACACCTCTGTCCCAATAGACAGGACTACCCATTGTCTTCACCCAAATAGTATCATTTACTTAACAACAGGCTTTATATGTCCTGGTTACAATTTGGTTTACAAGATCATACGTCCTATATTACATATGTTATTTGTAATTACAAATACATAATTTCTAGACAAGGTAATAATTTGAAGAAACGTAAATTATAAAATATGCTTTCTGGAATGACACAATACTTTAATAGTGGTTATTTCTTAAGTATAATAATAGTGAATAGAAAAACTTCTTATAACTTAACTTTTCAATAAAAATAGAAGTAATGGTTGCTTAAGTGATTCCATACTCACAAACTCAATTCCTTCAATAGCTTAAGTTCACAGTTAGGAGAACTGATTGATACAATAGGGCACTAAATTAATGACTTCAGCAAAATAATTACCCTTAGTTATACTGTATAGGTAGAGATTATTTCATGGGAAAGGAAATTTAAATTCAAACATGTCCATTACATTGGCAAATGGACAAGAATGCCTAATCTCTCCAAAGCCTCTTGAATGTTTGATAACACCTAACATAGTATGCCTGACACTGCCTATCCTTAGGAAGATCTGCTTGTATGGTTGGCCCCTGCTTAGCATTTGGAGACTTGGCTGATAAACATTTCTGTACAGTGATATAACACCATCTGTCTGTCAATTTGTCATACTGTGGTGGTTTGCCAATGAAAACCTTGTAAATCACAACACAATACTGTCTGATACAGTGCTGGAAGATGAGACCCCTAAATTAGAAGGTACTACACAACAACTCCAACAATAGCCTCAAACATACCTACAATCAAGAATACAACACAGAATGAGGCAACCTTGTCCTGTTACGCATAATTTTGCCAAGGGTCGGAACCTACTCAACAGCAAATAACAACAGTGATATAAAACTTTCTCTAAAGGATAAGAGTGGCTCACTGTGCCCAAATAGTCTGTGCAAACGAAGTGGTTTATGTTGAATACCTTCTTTCCTTCTCAGAGTCTGTAATTTTGGTGCCTAAGTGATCCGACGCTAATAAAAACATATAAGCACTGAATCTCTTATGAGCTTTCCTGGTAGACAACACTTTACACATTTTTCCACAACTCATTGCTGGATGAATCAAGCACATCCTGTGTAATTCCACTGCACAAAGACTCCTGGAAACACGCACCTTGTTTCTTCCAGACTTCATCCTATATACCCTTTGCAGATGTTCCTCTGTATTCCTACACTGTAATAAATCTTAGTTATGAGTATAACTATATGCTGAGTCCTGTGGGTCTTGCTTGTAAATCATCAATCTGGGTTTGGTCCTGGAGCACCTGTGACACTCCGTATTTTTTTTCCCCTTCTTTTAAATCATAGTAAGCACACTTTAACTTTCTTAAAATATTTCACCCTATTCTTGTCCTCTCAAATCCAAGTGTAACAAAGCCATCACCTTATTTTATTACTTCCGATCAATTTAATGAAGAACTAAAACCTGCTTAATGTTAAAATATATTATGCAACATACAGTTTAAGCACATTAATAATTTTTTTAGCACAAATTAAAAATGGAAGACTACTTACTAAATGGCAATACTGAATGCAATTGTCAGTAAAGAAAACACAATAAAAATATTAATAGGAACAGTTCAATCATTATAGTACAGTGGTTACAAGCACCTTTTTAAAGTTTTGTGATGGGTAAATTATTTTAGTTCTTTCAGCCTTATGAGCTCTGGTGGTGTGATGCCTAGGGCATTTGACTGCTAACCAGAAGGCTGGTGGTTCAAACCCACCAGCTGCTCCATGGAAGGAAGATGGGCAATTTACTTCCATAAAAATTTACTGCCTTGGAAACCCAATTGGGGTTGTTATGAGTCAGAATCGATTGAATGCCAGTGGATAGTGGTGGAAGCCAAAGTAGCCTAAACTTTGTTGTTGTTGTTGTTACATGTCGTCGAGTTGGACCCGACTCACAGTGATCCCTCCTTGGGTTTCCAAGGTGGTATTACTACGGAAGTAGATTGCCCAACCTTCCTTCCAAGGAGTAGCTGGTGGGTTTGAACTGCCAGCCTTCTGGTTAGCAGTCAAGTGCCTTAAGCACTACACTACCAGAGCTCCTGGTTAACTTTAAAGGGGGATAATACTTAGCTTTTAAGATTTTCATGAGGCTTAAATAAGGCAATCATATGACAACAAAAGCACAAGCAGCAAAAGACAAGATAGATAAAAAAATATAAAATTAAAAACTTTTTTAAAATGCATTTTCTTGAAATATAATTTATGTACAGTGAAATACACAAAACTAAGTGACATGGGTCAATGTATTCTTTTTTTTTTTTTTTTTTTTCAGTGTTCCCTCTCCTCCCCTTCACCTCTGGCAACCAACAAAGAAACTTTCCTTCCATATATAAACCTTTCCTTGACCTTCCACAACAACAAACTAATTCTATATTTGTGCTTTTGTGATTGACTTATTTCACTCAGCATAATGCCCTCCAAGTTCATCCATGTTATGTGGTGTTTTTCTGATTCTACACTATTCTTTAGTGTTGTTTAGTGTTCCACTGTGTACCAAGCTATGTACCACAGCTTGGCTACCCATTCTTCTGTTGATGGGCACATAAGCTGCGTCCATCTTTTTGCTATCATAAATAGTGCTGTGATGAACATAGGTGTGCATATATCTGTTCCTGTCCTGGCTATCACTTTTCTAGGATATATACCTAATAATGCAGTTGCTGGGTCAAATGGTATCTCCAATACCAGCTTTCTAAGGAATTGCCATACTGCTTTCCACAGTGGTTATATCACTTCACAGTCCCACCAGCAGTATATGAGAGTCCCAATCTCTCCACATTTATTATTTTCTGTCTTGTTGAACTTTGCCATTAGTGCTGGGGTGAGATGGTATCTCTCATTGTTGTTTTGATCTGCTTCTCTCTGATGGCCAGTGATCATGAGCATTTCTTCATGCGTTTGCTGGCTGCCTGAACAGCCTCCTTGGCGAAGTGTCTATTCATGTCTTCTGCCCATTTTTTCAATTTGATTAATCCCTTTGCTGTAGAGGCATTGGAGTTTTCTCTAAATCTTTAGAGATAAGTCCCTTGCCAGATATGTAATTATTAACAAGTATCAATTTGCTGTTGTTATTTTGTTATGTGCTTTTCTGTGGTGTTGATTCCTTTGTTCCATATAATTTTCAATGTTGAACTTGTTTTGTTTATGAATCATGCTGCCACTTCTTTTGCTGCTATTATTTTAGTATTTGCTAAATATTTGTGCTGGTCCTCTTTTTCATTTTGATGTAAGGGTTTATAATTTTTCTTTGAGGTTACCCTGTGATTTATAGTTTTCTTCCCAAGTTTAGAACAGTCTTTTCTATCTTGTAATTGTCTTGACTTCCCTACCATTTAGAAGTTCTGAAACTACACAATTTTTCCCTCTTTTTGGTTTGTACTAGTCCTCATTTGTCAATTGATATCTGTGGTTCCCTGTTTACAATCTTGTAGGCTTATTTACTTTGGATACTTCTAAAACTGGGTTGGTTTTGGGTTATGTCATCATGTGTGTTAATGGTCAGTTATTGTTTGCTGTTGTTGCTTCTCTGTCCAAAGGACTCCCTTTAGGATCTCTTGTAAGGTTGGTCTGATTTTAAAAAATTCCCTTAATTTAAGCTTATCTGGAAATGTCCTAATTGCACCATCATATTTGAGGGACAATTTTGCTAGGTATATAATTCTTGGTTGGAAATTTTTCTCTTTCAGGGCTTTATATACACCATCCTATTGTCTTCTCACCTGCATGGTTCTGTCAAGAAATCTGAGCCTAGTCTTATTGGTTGCCTCCTGTAGGTAACTTTTCGTTTTTCCTGTGCTGGTTTCAGGATTCTTTCTTTATCTTTGGTTTTGGTGAGTTTGATGATGATATGTCTTGGTGATTTTCTTTTGGGGTCTATCCTGTTTGGGGCTCACTGGACTTCTTGAATGGATATAGTCTCATCTTTCATCATACCAGGAAAATTCTCTTCCAACAAATCTTTGATAATTTTTTCTGTGGTTTTATCTCTCTCATCCTGTTCTGGAATTCCAATTACAGGTAGGTTATTCTTTTTGATGGTATCCCACCTGAACCTTAGGCTTTCTTCATTTTGTTTTCATCTTTTTTCCTGATTGATCCCTTTCTAAAGAAGTATTGAGGTATTTGCCTTTAATCTCACTAATTTTTTCTTCCACTGATTCAATTCTATTCCTTTGCCTGTTCAATGTGTTATCTACTTCTGAAAATTTAGTATTAATCTTCTGGATTTCTCGGTGTAGGTTTTGTATCATTTCTAATTTTTCATTTATTTTGTCATTTTGTTTTTGTGTTGTCTTTCAAAACTATTCTAGGGTCTTCTCTTGTGTTTTCCTCAATTTTGTCAGTGTTTTCCTTGAACACTCTCTCAGTTTGTTGAAGGTGCCTAAATATAATTCTTTT